GAAACCACCAAAAATTTTTCAGCTTTAGAAGTACCATTTTGCTGCTTAGAAGAAGAAGATTCCATCATTTCTCAACCTTGCCCTGAACTGCCAAACGGTCGTTTCGAAGAAGAAGTAGTCACTTCCAGGTCAGCTTCATCAACCTTCCTCTTTGTTCCTCTTTCGACACTGGTCATGTCTACATCTCCACTGGTAGATGCGGGTCTCGGACCCAATCCATGTTCTAAAAGATACTCTGAAATTGGGGCTAACATAGGTGGGAACTCTTGCTGAGTACCAGAACTTTCACCAATATCCTGCCTTGTATTGAGCCCCTCAATTGCAGCCATACGTTCTTGAGAGGTAATGAAAGGGTCATTACCAATCTCCATTAGAGCACCAGCAGTAGCACTAAGTGTTGATGACTTAGGGCATGCATCATAATTGTGTCTAAGACTTCCACAAGTAGTACAAAACTTTTGGAGCTTTTTATACTTGAACTCTAATTCTACTGGCTCCCCGGAATTCATAATATGAACTTTCCGAACTAGTGAGATTTCACTATCAATATCATATCAATCCTTACCCAAACCTCTACTGGTTTATCCTGATGTAGAACCGGTTCCACGATTCTGACCTTGTCGACGTGCCCCACCATCGACCGAATACTTTCGACAATGTGATTCCCTCTATAAACCTCTGGAAGGTTGACAATTTGTACCCAGAAAGGAATACTCTGAAGGAAGGTTGGGGAATACCTGTTACTCTATCGATCAACCGATACCATCCATCCTCTAAAGTTGTAAGGCGCATTTTCAAGTATCGCCATAAGCTGATATTCCTTTACGAAATAGAAATTAATAGTTCCATCATCGTTTATCTTCGCATCAATACACCCTTTCTGCTCCCAAGCTCCCTGAAGTGCTTTCTTGATTCCTGCCGGGTTTTGATGCGCTAGATTCAAACCCATAGTCTCCAAACATAGCTTATGTTCCTTCTCAAATTTAGACTGTGCATCCTGATGAACATCTCAAACTTCACGGTCCGATCCAAGACGAAGTCGCTGAAGGGATTCCCAAAACGCTCGTTGCGTTTCCATATCCTCAGATCTAGGCATAGAAAGATGAGAAGATTTGGAAGGTAAAAGAAAATAGACAAAATCTACTCCAGATCTACTGGAAAAAAATCGATTTTGTCGAAACCCTAATCTCTCGAAGCTTCACGAAACAGAGAGAAGTTAATATATCTCAATGAAAACCACTCCCCAATTATTATTTTGATACTGTGAACAAAAAATCCCAATTTAGTAAAAAAATAAATAAATCAATGTAGTAGTTAATGATGACTAATTAGTTGCTATAAATGACGTTGCAGAAATGATCACTGTAAGCATAAGTACTTTCTATATTTGCAACCCAGTAATTGTACAAATTGATTATGTTCTAATACATTCTCGTGAATATGTTTTTCACAAAACCTAGTAGCCCACATAGTTTTGTATTGCATGCACACAAACAGGGCCGACCCTGACCTAAAGCACATGATGCATGGGTTTTAGAAATCACTTAAAGTTATTAATTTAAATGGCATCAATTTTGTTAAGGTCACTTATAGTCTAGTGGTTATGGACACGTGTGAAAGGTTAATGGTCATGAGTTCGAATCTCAGGTGTAGTGTTACTGCTAATTTTTTTATATTTTTAAGTTCGTAAATGGGCCAAAATTTTTAATCTTGCTTTAGGCATAATTTTGTATACAAAAAAATATATATTAAACTGTGATTTCTTAATCTTGCTTTAGGCATTATCACTTTACCAAAATCTAAATGATAGCGATCGTGAAGTGGTGATAGAGAGGAAAGACTATTTGGAAAATTCCTTAAACAACCATAGTTCTTCGAGTAAAGATTCGCTTTTTGTATCCCGATGTTCATGATTGCAATCTTTGAAGTTTGCTTCTTTTCCCTTATTGAATGCACTCTAATTTCACCGTCCATTTTAGGTTAAGAGTCCTCAAGTAGACAAGTAGAAAGGAAAGATAAATTGTTGAGAACATGTAATTCTATAAAGGAAACAGATGAAAATTGAGAATTTATCCATTCAAACTCTGCTTCAAATGCCTTTTAACTGCAAAATTTATTGTTGCACATTACTTTATATGGCGTTGTATAAACTAATCACGATTATGTAAAATATCTTAGGTGCAAGTAATTGAAAAATACTGTAATACTAGTGTATAAATCTCTTAAAACATAGATGATGACAAAGTTCTTGGTCAAGAAAGATGGTTAAGAAATAGGAGGTTTGTAATTACATAGCAATCATTAGAGAGTACATGTTTTTGTTTGTACCAAGATCCTTAAACACATGAGAAGTTTATGTTTTCTAATCTATGGGCTCTGTTTTGTGGCAGTGGTGAAAGCATGTTTGAGTTCAAGGAGTAACATTACATGCTTAGAATTTTACGGGAATTTATGTTCACAAAAGTAATTATTATGATTTTAATTGGAGAATTTGGTTATTCGTCGGTATTTATATAAAGTTGGCAAGTTAATGACCTTTGTATGTGGTATGGTGTAAGTTGTATAGAGGGTCGAATCAGGTCAATCACCTTCATATCCATGAACCTGACGGGTATTATCTCTCCAAAGTTTGCATATCTCACATCTCTTTATGTGATTAATCTTTCAAATAACTATCTCGCTGACACTATTCCTTTCAAACTCACTAAGTTGAAACTGAAAACTCTTGGATGTTTCTTATAACAAATTTCATGGGAAAGTGCTAAAATTTAGAACAACAGTTCCATACACTAATGGAAATCCGAAGATTGAGACAATAATTATTCATGTTCTTTCACAAAGATATCAAGAATATATTAATTGTTGTAAGACTTTTCATTGAGAGATTGTGGTTGTATTTTTTCTGCTTACTGGAGGAGGATGTATTGCTTTCTATATGAATAGGAAAATGAAACAATTTAATAAGTTACCATATCCACAATCCCAATGATAAATTTCTTATTTTCTCATATTTTGCTTATATTTTGCTAATTGTTTTTTTATGTTTCAATAAAAATTGTAGTAAAAAATAAAATAATGTATCATTAAGTGTATTAATAAAAATTATATAATTTAAGTTTTGGAAATAGTAATTAAGAATAAATAGCAGTCTACTAGTAATCAAGTTTTTTCAATAAATAAAATATATTTAACTTTTGATAAGATAAAATAATCAAATTTTAGACACGCTAATTGTTACTAACTCTTTAAATTGTAATTAAAGTGAAACATCCTCTAGTATGAGCGGTTTTAATTTGGTTTTGGATTCAAGTTTTAATCAAAACTACAAAATGTTATATGATTATTGTTATTTATATTTGACTAGATTCTCACAAACATTCGTTATATATTGTTGTATACTATACTTGATTTTCG